AGGTGTACTTGGCTGGCGCCTTAGCCACTTGAGCCACAGGCACCAAGCCGAAGTCTTTCCTTTTCTCCACATCCATGCTAACATCTGTGGTTTTGGGATTTTCTGATGTGGGCTAATCTTACTGGAGTTGGATGATATTTCAAAGTGGTGCATTTATCTGATGAATAAGGATGATAAGCATTTTTTCAGGTGTTTGCAGGATATGCGCCTGTCTTCTTCAGAGAAGTTTCTGTTCACATCTCTTATCCATATAGGAATAGGGTTATTCGTTCTTTTCTTATTGATTAGCTTGTGTTCTCCGTGGATTCTAGTTATCAGACCTTTGTCAGAAGCATAATCTGTGAAAATCTTCTCCCTTTCTGAAGGTTGTCTGTTTGCTTTACTTACTATGCTCTTGGCTATACAAACACTTTTTAGTTTGATCAGATCCCAGTAATGTATTTTTGGTGTTGTTTCAATGGCCCGGGGTGGGGGTGGGGGTGGGGAAGAGGTCCTCCTCATAAAATATTCTCCCAGGCTGATTTCTTCAAGTGTTTTCTCTGCATTCTCTTCTAGTATTTTGATAATTTCATGACTTAAGATTAAATCTTTTATCCAGTGAGAATCAGTTTTTGTTAATGGTAAAAGGTGGGGGTCCAGTTTCAGTCTTCTACAGGTCGCCAGACAGTTTACCCAGCACCATTTGTTAAATAGGGAGTGTTCCCCCCATTGAATGTTTTTGATTGGCTTATCAAAGATCAAATGACGATAAGTAGCTGGGTTCATCTCTTGATTCTCTATTCTGTTCCATAAATCTATCTTTCTGTTTTTGTGCCAGTACCATGCTGTTTTGATCACTATAGATTTATAGTACAGCCTGAAGGCTGGTAACGTGTTACCTCCTGATTTGTGGCTTCCTTCTTCAAGGCAGAGAGGCCATATGAGCCGGGCTTCTTGATCTCGTTTTATTTCACTTATAAAATACTATTAAGATCTGCCAGAGGGATATATCAATAATATGAAATATGCATATTTGGAGGCTGGGCATTGTGGTTCATGCCTGTAATCCCAGCATTTTGGGAGGCAGAGGAAGAAGGATCACTTGAGGTTGTGTGTTTGCCCATTTGGCAACAGAGTGAGACTCCCAGTTTCTGTCATAGAAATTCCACACCCTTGGAATTTCCTGAGTAATAGGATTATCTCTTATTATTTGTAATGAGCTCCTTTGACACATAACTTCCCAGTTTATGGTAGAAATTACTTAGTGTGGTTTGCCCTGATACCCTTAGGATGGGACTCGTTACCTGAAAGCTCACCCACTGACCTCTGAGGGGGGAGGACTGGAAATCAAATGAAAACTCTTGAACAGGATTTGGTGAGCTTCTGACTTGGGAATGCATTCACAAGCTTGGAGGACGGCACACTCCATCTTCGCTGGGATAGAAGCTCTTGTGCTTAAGACCCTTCCAGCCTTCACCCTATGTACCTCCTCAGCTAGCTGTTCTTCTGAATCTTTTATAATAAACCAGCAAATATAAGAGTCTCCCTGAGTTCTGAAAGCCATCTCAGCAAGTTAACTGAACATGAGGAGGGGGCGGTGGAAACTGTGGTTTGTAGCTTGATAGGTCAGAGGTACGTGTGGCCTCAATTTGTGATTGGCATCTGAAATGGGGGCAGTCCTATGGGACTGAGCCCTCAACCCATGGGATCTAACACTAGATCTAGGTGGATAGTGTCAGAATTAAATTGGATTATAGGACTTACAGTGGCTGATAGAGAATTGCATGATGTATGGGGAGCCCTCCTCCCTACACATCTGGTCACAAATAATTCTGTGTGGAGTATGGGAGTAGATGGTTTGGTTTTTTCCCTCTAGCAGTCATCATTTCTTCTCTCAGGAAGAAGGGGGTCCAGTGTAGAAGGTTTTTTGGATAGGAATACTGCAAGTAATCATTTGGCTATAACAGTATCTGAATTCATTTAAAAAATTACTGTAGGCTTGGGGCAGTGCTTCCTAGGATTCTGGGAGGCTGAGGCAGGAGGATCACTTGAGGCCAGGAGTTTGAGACCATCCTGAGCAAGAGCAAGACCTTGCCTCTACAAAAAAAATAGAAAAAATAGTTAGGCATGGTGCCTCATATCTGTAGTCCCAGCTACTTGGAAGCCGGAGGCAGGAGGATTGTTTGAGGCCAGGAGTTTGAGGTTGCTGTGAGCTATGATGATGCCAGGGCACTCTAAGCCAGGGAACAGAGAGAAACTCTGTCTGAAACAACAATAACAACAACAAACCTACTATAATTTTAAATGTGCTAGTTCACCCATGCATTTTCATGTGTACATACACATACAATGTTGTCATCTAATAGTTGTCTTAATATAGTGACATTCTTTTTATTTGGGTAGTATTTATAATGTTAGGAAATGAGTGTTAATCTTTATATATGTTTTACCAGTGTTTTGCTAGCATATTTTCTAAAAATATCTTTTTTTTTTTTTTTTTGAGACAGAGCCTCAAGCTGTCCCCCTGGGTAGAGTGCCGTGGCATCACAGCTTACAGCAACCTCCAACTCCTGGGCTCAAGCGAGTCTCCTGCCTCCGCCTCCCAAGTAGCTGGGACCACAGGTACCCACCACAATGCCTGGCTATTTTTTTTTTTGGTTGCAGCAGTCATTGTTGTTTGGTGGGTTTGGTGGGCCGGAGCTGGATTCGAACCCGCCACCTTAGGTGTATGTGGCTGGTGCCTTAGCCACTTGAGCCACAGATGCTGAGTCTTCTAAAAATATCTTATAGGCCTGGTGAGGTGGCTGACACCTGTAATCCTAGCACTCTGGGAGGCCGAGACTGGAGGATCACTTGAGCTCAGGAGCTCGAGTTTAGACTGCACAAGAGCAAGAGCAAGACCCCATCTCTACTAACAATAGAAAAATTAGCAGGGCATCATAGTGTGCCTGTAATCCCAGCTACTCAGGAGGCTGAGGCAGGAGAGTCGCTTGAGTCAGGAGGTTGCTGTGAGCCAGGCGGATGTCATGACACTCTAGCCTGGGCAACAGAGTAAGACACTGTCTCAAACAAAACAAAACAAAACAAAACAAAAAAACCTTACAAACCCATTTCATTAAATCATTAAGGAGGCTCTTTAAAAATAGTTTGTTTTTAAAAACAAGGACATTATCTGGAAGAACAGTCCAAAGTTTACTACATGGCAAGCATTTCTTGATGGCAAAGTCCATTTTAGTGTTAATTGTTATAGTTGATCCATTTCAGCAGGAAAGTTTTTGTTCACAGGGTCTTATATATCAGTTTTCCAGTTCACCAAATGGTGTAGAAATTTTATCAGAATGCAGTTATTAGAACCTTGGGATTTTCTTCTCTCTCCATTGATTGTCTTTGTTTTTTCCAAGATCTGAACCTGAAAATAAAATAGATGGTAAAGAAAATTAAATATTCAAGACTCTCCTAAAAATGCTAAGTTGACAATGAAAAACGTTTATTGAATCAATGAGCAAATAATTATTTGAACTCTACTAAGAATGTCATGAGCATATGTCTAGTTATTTTATGATTTTAAATACCTGGGGTAATTTTCTTAATCAAGTATAAAACCCTGACTTTAAACTCTTTCAGTTGCCCTGAGGAAAAGATAGAGGGCTAAGCATGAACTTCTTGGCAATTAGAGTTGATATTGAAGTAGTTCTATCATTAGAAGAAAACAACGCAGCAAAAATGGGCTTTTTGGCAGGGCGCGGTGGCTCATGCCTGTAATCCTAGCACTTTGGGAGGCTGAGGCGAGTGGATTGTCTGAGCTCGCAGGTTCAAGACCAGCCTGAGCCAGAATGAGACCTCATCTCTAAAAATAGCTGGGCATTGTGGCAGGCACCTGAAGTCCTAGCTGCTCAGGAGGCTGAGGGAAGTAAATCACTTGAGTCCAAGAGTTTGAGTTTGCTGTGAGCTATGACATCATAGCACTCTACTGGGTGTGACAAAGTGAGACTCTGTCTCAAAAAAAAAAAAGAAAGAAAAATAGGCTTTTGCTGTGTGTGTTCTGTTAGGGATCAGAATGTATTCATATACAGACTTATCTTTATCATAGTCTAGCAATGAAAACAATCTTTTATAACCTCAAAATAGCTATATGAAATATTCCTATAGAACAGATGAGAATACAGAGGTTTAGTGAAAATTAAGTGATTTTTCCACATTTCGCGATGGATTTGGGTTTTGAAGCCAGGCAGTTTTTTGCATGACCCTTACATAGCTTCAGAATGGACACTGGTCCTCAGAGAGACTGAGCCTTGATTAGAAGCTTGGAACTTTTTTTTTTTTTTTTTTGAGACAGAGTCTCAAGCTGTCGCCCTAGGTAGAGTGCCTTGGCATCATAGCTTATAGCAACCTCAAACTCTTGGGCTTAAGTGATTCTCTTGCCTCAGCCTCCCAAGTAGGGAGGACTACAGGCACTTACCACAATGCCTGGCTATTTTTTTATTGCAGTTGTCACTGTTATTTATCAGGCCTGGGCTGGGCTTGACCCCACCATCCTCGGTGTATGTAGCTGGTACCCTACTCACTGAGCTACGAGCGCCAAGCCGAAGCTTGGAACTTTCAGTCCCACCCTCTTCCTAACGTCTGGGGAGAGGAGAAGGGCTGGAGACAGACTTAATAATCCTTCATGTTGACATAATGAAGTCTCCACGAAAGCCTTTCCATGGTGGGCTTTAGAGAGCTTCTGAGCTGGTAAACTCATTCATGTGCCAGGAAGGTGACCCAACTCCATGGGGACAGAAGCTACTGTGCTCAGGACCTTTCCAGACCTTGCCTTGTGTACTTCTTCATCTGACTGGGCATTTGTATCCTCCTTAATAAATCACTAATAGTAAGTAAAGTAAGTAAAGTGAAACTGAGTCATTCTAGCAAATTATTGAACCTGAGGAAGGGAGTTGTAGGAACCCCAGACTTTGTAGCCAGTCAGAAATGTGGGTAACATGGGGACTCAAACTTATGCATGGCATCTGAAGTGAGGTCGGCAGCATCGTGGGACTGAAGCCTTAATCCTGTGGAAACTGATACCAACTTAGGTAGTTAGTGTCAGAATTGAACGGAATTGTAGAACACCCAACAGATGTTCTATAGAAATACCCAACAGAAAAAAGCTTGCACAGCCTCATAGGCCAAAAAAAGGATATTGAATTGATTTGCTTTGCAATTCTTTATTAATGTGGACAGATAATTTTTGTGTACGTTAGACACTTAAAGGTCCTCTTCTGTAAACTATTCATGTTCTTTGTCAGTTTCTCTACTGAGCTATCTTTTTCCCAAGGATTACTAAGAGCTTTTAGTATATTAGGTATGCTAGCCTTAAGTCTATATTTTGTGTTGCAAATATTTTCCCCTGGCTTGTTGACTTTTGTCTTCACATTTTTTTTTTGTTTTGCCAATAATTTAAAAAAAATCATATAATCATATCTATCAATCTTTTCCTTTACGGTTTTTTGAGTTCCATATTATGCTCAGGAGGATCTTCTCTGAGGTTATAAAAATGTTTATGTTTTCCTTTGTTACATTTATGATTTTACATTTTTAGGCCTAAATTTAATCTTTCTGAAATTCAGCTTCATGCCTTTTATAAAATTCAACATTTACTTATGGAAAATGTCTAGCTGAATATTATAAACCTTTCATTGAATAATGTAATTTATAATGTAATAATGAATAATGACTTTGCTACTTTTTATTATGTACTGAATTTTTAGATTTTCTTGGGTTTTGTCCTGAATTCCATGCTATCCCACCACTTTCTGTTCCTATGCCATCACCACACTTTATAATTCTCCTTCTTAATGATATGCTCTATCTGTTTGGCACCTGTACCTTGGTGAGTAGGGCACTGGCCACATACACTGAGGCTGGTGGGTTTAAGCCTGGCTTCGGCCAGCTAAACAATAACTACAACCAAAAACAACCGGGTGTTGTGGCCTGTAGTCCAAGCTACTTGGGAGCCTGAGGCAAGAGAATCGCTTAAGCCCAAGAGTTTGAGGTTGCTGTGAGCTGTGATGCCATGGCACTCTACTAAGGGCGACATAGTGAGACTCTGCCTCAAGGAAAAAAAAAAAACCAATATGCTTTATTATCTGATAAAGCTAGCTTCTACTTATTACTCTTCTTTTTCAGGACCTTCCTGGCTACTCTAGCATGTTTATTCTTTCTTAGGAATTTTTAATTTTTTTTTATTTTTTGAGACAAAGTTTCCCTATGTCACCCTTGGTAGAGTGCCGTTGCATTACAGCTCACAGCAACCTCAAACCCCTGGGCTTAGGCCATTCTCTTGCCTCAGCCTCCCAAGTAGCTGCGACTATAGAAGCCCACCACGATGCCTAGTTATTTTTTTGTTGCAGTTGTCATTGTTGTTTCACAGGCCAGGGCCAGGTTCAAACCTGCCAGCCTTAGTGCATGTGGTCGGTGCCATAACCACTGTGCTACAGGCACGGAGCCCCATAGGAATTTTTTAAATTTAATTTTTAATTAAAATCATAACTGTACAATGTGATGATTTGATATGCAATGAGGGATGCTTAAATCAAACTGATTAACATATCTATCACCTCACTTACTTATTTTTTTGTGGTAAGACATTTAAAATTTACTCTTAGTTATTTTGAAATATACCCTTGTATTGTGTACATTAGGTGAGATCCCACCAAATGCCCTCCTCCTCCCATCAAACACTCTCCTCTTCTCCTCCCTTTCCTTCCTCTCCCCTCCCCCTCACTAGACCATATTTGCATTTTATCATTTGTATGAGTGTGTGTTTATATATTAGTTTCATAATAGCATCAAGTACATTGAATACTTTTTGTCCCATTCTTGAGATACTTTACTAAGAAGAATGTGTTCCAACTCCATCCAGGTAAACATAAAAGATGTAAAGTCTCCCTCTTTTTATGGCTGAATAGTATTCCACGGGCTACATATACCACAATTTTTAAATTCATTCACAGGTTGATGGGTATTTGGGCTGCTTCTATGACTTGGCAAACAGGAATTGGGCTACAATTTTTGGTACAATTTTGTTAAGTTCTGCTTACCCTTTCAGTTTCTGCATCTGTTCTAAGGTCTCTGGTAGAGTCATTCCCAGGCTTTCAGGGAAAAAAAGGGTGATAATTCCATTCAGGACAGTGAGACTGCCCATGAGAATGTACGGCAGAACTCTGTTGTAAGCACCTGCAAATTTTTTAGAAGAAAAAAGTAAGCAAATTATCACAGTTTCCTCTTGGCAGATGACACTGACCATGCATACTATATTTTGCATTATCATAAACATTTTCATTCTTTCCTGTCAACTGGTATCCTCTAAGCTTCTACTTAATCATGTGTGACAGATGTTCTTTTGATAGAAGTCTTTGTCTGCCCAAGTTCTCCTCTGAAGGTGGAAGTAATTGGAAATGGGGGATGGGAGGACATCAAGGGGAAGGAGGTTGACCAGGATGTATCAGGGGCAGTTTCTGGCCATTGTGTGACTTCTGCTTTTGCCCAACAGTAAGCTACAATGGAAAGCTGGGTCCACAGAACTATGAGAATCTTTGTTTTTTTAATTTTTTTTTTTTTTAAACAGAGTCTCACTATGTGGCCCTCAGTAGAGTGTCATAGCATTACAGCTCACAGTAACCTCAAACTGTTAGGCTTAAGCGATTCTCTTGCCTCAGCCTCCAGCTACCTGGGACTACAGGCATCCACCACAATGCCAGGCTATTTTTTGGTTATAGTTGTCATTGTTGTTTGGCAGGCCTAGGCTGGATTCAAACCCACCAGCTCCGGTGTATGTGGCTGGCACCCTAGCCACTAAGCTATAGGTGCTGAGCCTATTTTTTAATTTTAATTAATTTTTTGAGATTGGGTCACTTTCTGTTGCCTGGGCTAGAGTGCAGTGGTGTCATCATAGCTGACTGCAACCCTCAAACTCTAAGGCTCAAGAAATCTTCCTGCTTCAGCCTCTCCTAAGTAGAGTACTCTTGGCCTCAAACAATCCTACCTCAGCCTCCCAAAATGGTAGGATACAGGCATGTACCACTGAGCCTGGCTGAGAATCTTTAAAAAAAAAAAAGTCCAAGTAGTATGTTCAATCCAATTTAAATCAATAAATGGTAAACATCAGGCATATCCTGTGAAAGCACTGTGTGCCTGGATTTGTTTTTGTTTTTGTGTTTGCAACATGTACATGTCTTGGTTTAACAGGGAAAGGAAAGAGGTACTCTATCTCGTCTTTATGGGGTGTTCACTCAGACAGGTGAGTAACAGGTCCTCATCTTTCTTCCCTTCTGTATACATATAGAAATTATACAAGAACAACACACCTGTGTATTTTATGTGACATAAAAAAAGAAAAACATTGATTTTGAAGCTTCTCTGAGGCCTCTCTGTCACTAACAGGAATGGCTATTGTGGAATAGAAAGTTAACAGACTCTATACTGGAGTACCAGTGGCCCACTATTGGACCACCTGAGCACGGTATGAGAGCTTGGAAGAACAAGGGGGAAAGGACGCTATTCGGTAGAACATGCTATCAGGTGTGGTTCAGGGCAGCTGTGCACAGTATGTTCAAGAAAAATGTTTCTCTTTCTCTATAAGGATTTAGAGCATACCTTTTCTGAGAATTCACATATGTCTTTAGGGGTATGTGTGTGTGTTTTAACTAGTAGGTAATCAATGAATGACTAGTAAGAATAAGGTGAAGTATCTACATTTCTCACTTGTAAAATCCCTAGTGAAGACGTGTGAAGAGCCTCCATCACATTAAACACACTACTGAAACCCCTGTGTGATTTCAGAGTGATACATTTGAACATATAAGAACAAGACATTTTTGCATTACAAAAATGTCATAAAGTCAAAATGCAAATAATAAACTAGAGAAAATATTGAAAACATTTATATAAAGGGCTAATTTCCTTCCATAATTAAGAGCTTGCACAAATCAAGAAGAAGAAGAAGAAGAAACCATTAAAGAATGGGTAAAAGGTTATACAGGTGCAGTGGCTCACACCTATAATCATAGCACTTCAGGAGGCCAAGATGGGAGGATCACTTAAGGCCAGGAGTTTGAGACCAGCCTACGTAAGAGGGAAACTCTTTCTCTATAAAAAATAGAAAAGTTATTGAGGTGTGGTGGTGTGGGCCTGTAGGCCTAGGTAATTGAGAGACTAAGGTAGGATGATTGCTTGAGAGTTTGAGGATTGTAGTAAGTAAGGATGATGCCACTACATTCTGGCCTGGGTGACAGCAAGATCCCATGGGGAAAAAAAAAAAAAAAAAAAGAATGGGCAAAAGGCATGAGCAGTCTGTCCACTGAAAGATAAATGGAATGGCCAATAAACACAAGAAAAACATGCTCAATCTTATTTATAATTAAAGAAATGAAAATGATACTAATTTTTCACATAACAGATTACCAATGATTAAAGGGGAAAAGAGAAGCCTGTATCACTTTGTGTGCTATTTAACTACTTAAAGAGTCAGATCATAAAAAAAAAATTGGTAATCCCCATTGTTGGTGAGGATATGGGAAACAGCCACTCCCATGCCTTGATACTAGGATGGTAAATTGGTATAATATTTGGAGTTCAATTTGGCGATATCTATGAAAATTTCAAAGGCATTCTTTGCTCCAGGAAATCTACTTCAATACATCTATCTATAAATCCAAATATACATAAAAAATGCACAAAGGGTATAGGAGCATAGGAGAATGTTTTTTATAATGTTATTTGTAATATCAAAAACCTGGAAATGGTCTAAATATCTATTCACTGGAGCCTGTTTATATAAATTATTATAATTATAATTATTATATAAATAATTATAATTATAATTATTATAAATTATTATAAATTTATTATATAAATTTATTGGAAGACTATGTACTTATTTGAAAAAATAAATAAGGCCGGTGCAGTGGCTCACACTTGTAACTTCAGCACACTAAGAGGCCCAGATGGGTGGATTGCCTGAGCTCAGGAGTTTGAGACCAGCCTGAGCTAGAGTGAGATCCTCTTTCCAAATATAGCTGGGGGTTATGGCTACTCAGGAGACTGAGGCAAGAGAATAGCTTAAGCCTAAGAGTTTAAGGTTGCTGTGAACTATGACACCATAGCACTCTACCGAGGACAACAAAGTGAAACTTGTCTCAAGAAAATAAAAATAAATAAATAAATAGAATAGAATAGAATAAAAAATAAAAAAGAAGGTAATAGAGCAATATATACCCATTTAGAAGAATATTCTGATACAATGTTCCATTTTAAAAGTTACAAACAGGCTTAGCTCTCATAGCACAGTGGTTATGGTGCCAGACACATACACTAAGGGTTTGAACCCGGCCCAGGCCAGCTAAACAACAATGACAACTGCAGCAAAAAATAGCCAGGCATTGTGCTGGGCGCCTGTAGTCCCAGATACTTGGGAAGCTGAGGCAAGAGAAACTCTTAAGCTCAAGAATTTGAGGTTACTGTGAGCTGTGACGCCATGGTCCTCTACTGAGGGTGACATAGAAAGACTCTGTCTCAAAAATAAATAAATAAAAGTTACATACAATGTATATAATTTTATTTTTGTGTTTAAAAATTACACACACACACACACATATATATGTACTGTGTGTGTAGACAGATAGGTAGTATATATTCTGTGCAAACAAAATGTCTGAAGGGTTACTCACCAGTTAATATGGAGTACTTTTACATGGGAAGCTGGGAGGAGAGCTGAATTTGTACTTTTCCCAGTACATTCTCACTAGTTTGAATTTTTCACAATGAAAATCTTTTACCTTTAAAACTAATTTAATGAAAGAACAAGCTGACAAGATGTATCTCACCGAGGTAAACAAAGTAGGGAGCAATGATACTGCCCACCCTGGAGGCCATGGATGTGACCCCCACAGCCATGTTCCTGATGGGCGTTGGGTAGAGCTCTGCTGTGAAGACATACAGCATGGAGAAAGCAGAGGTGATCCCAAATTTTCCCAACATGGCCAGACTGATGGAGAAGAAGTAGTAATCTGGAAAAGAGTCCCATGTAAACAGTGGTGTTTTTAGAAGGGATACTTTCTTAACTCAGTTGCTTCTACTGTCCTTTCTGTGTCAGTGGTAATGTTTTTATTAACATAAGAATATTCACAAAATAACATTTCCTCTTCGAATTCCTAATCACCAGATATGGGCAAAGATAGAGAATGAGGGGTAACTTTGTACTTTGCTCTACTGTTGTTCTAGATCATTAGTGCATTCAGTGAACTTTGTCCCCTTGACTTCTATTTGTTACAACAGCTTCATGATAAGTTGCTACCATGTTAATATAATTAAGTTTAATCTTCAAAGGGCCAATCCTTTCTATTCTATTTCTTGTTATTAAGAAATAAATATTTCTATGTACATTACTATGTATCAATAATTTATTGACAACATTTTTATATTCTGAGAAGGAGACAAGGGGGAAAGGGAAGCCTATTTCACTTTGTGTGCTAACTACTTAAAGATTTAGACCATAAAACCACTGAATGTATACTGAAACCAGCATATATTGCCAACTGTAACATTGAATATGTACCCCATCTAAAAGGTTTGAAAGTACCAAGAAGTAAGGAATCAGGAGGTTTGAGGATTTAAGTGGTCTTTCCATGAAGGGGATGGCTGGGAGTTACTCTGTGTGGTTGGTGATTCCTGCTTCTCCAAGGCTGCCCCTTCTGTTTGAGGGTAGTTGTTTTGAAAACAGGAAACTAGCAATCAGCTTTCTAATTGATTTATGAATGGTTTACAAGGCTGCCTAAACAGGGAGCAGTGACTCATAAGTGGCTTAGTGAATGTGCGGGTCTTTTCTGGTCAGCTAACTTCTTACCTGCAGGTACCAGTTGAATTAAGAGAAGCACACCTCCTCCCAAGAACAGTACCCCAGCTATGATGTAACGCCTGGGTAGGGTTCGAAGTAGCAGCCAGGCTGTGATATAAGCTGGAACTTCAATCAAGGCAGAGAGGAAACAGTTCAGGTAGGGATCTCCATGTAAATTAGGAGCATCAAGAGAAAGAGCAAAGTAACCTATGGAGGTTAGCATCCTGAAAAATAAAAGAAAAAAGACGAAAGGATAGCCTGAATCACTCTCAGATTTCATGACAGTCAAGAAATTGTCTAGATGTTGCTGTCCTGTGAGAAGTCACTAGCTTCACTGGCTACTTAAATTTAAATAAAGTGAAATAAAATTACAAATTCAGTTCCTCAGTCACACTTCGGGTGTTTGATAGTCACATGTGGTTAGTGGCTACTACAAAGGGTTCCCCCAAAAATGTATACACATTTTAAGAAAGGAAAATCTGTATTAAAATTGTAATGCTCAGTATATACTAGTAACATCTGCTATCCTGTATCTACATATATAGTATATTGTAGCTCTTATAGTTGCAGAAGACAAATGTGTCTTAAGGATTCCATTTGAATTTTAATACAGTTTTCTCATTTCTTAAAATGTGTGTGCTTTTTTTGTACCCTCTGTGTATTGGACAACACAGATATAAACCATTTCTATCATTGCTGAAAATTCTTCTTCTTCTTCTTTTTTTTTTTTTTTTTTTGTGGTTTTTGGCCGGGACTGGGTTTGAACCTGCCACCTCTAGCATATGGGGCCAGCACTCTACTCCTTTGAGCCACAGGCACTGCCCCAATGCCAAAAATTCTGTCGAACAGCCCTAGTCCAGATATAACAAACCAATTCTCAACTGGTTGAATTAAAAAAAAAATTTTTTTTTTTTTTTTTTGGCAGTGTTTTGGCCCAGGCTGGGTTTGAACCCACCACCTCTGGTATATGGGGCGGGGCACCCTACTCCTTGAGCCACAGGCACTGCCCTGTTGAATTCATATTTTAATACTTTCTGAATAGTTTGTACATCTTCATTCTCTTAGAGCTATTATTTGAAGAAAAAGTCACATCAGTGAACATAAAATCCAGATTTCATTCTTTAAAACAAGACAATAGGAGGGATCCATTTACAGTGAATTTGATGTAGTAAAACTCAATTTAGGGAAAACAGTGAAAGTCTTGTAACGCTTCAAAGTATCACAGAGTGCAGACTGCATATCCTGTCATTACGGTCAACGTCTATGTAGAAGCTGCCCTGTGGAAAAAACAACTGCGCTATGCAGATGCCCCTGTGTAGAAATTCTGCTTATTATTAACATGGCTGAAAAGCAAAGTCTATCAGAAATGTATTTTCAGGAACACTACTGGATATTTTTATAAAACATAGACCCAACTTGGTAGCACAGGGATGAATCCAAATCACTAGGATCTGGGGACCTTAGTGATTTTTGCATTTAATATTAAGAGCAACTTAGACAGAGCTAGTGACTAGCCAGTTACTGGCTCAATAGCGCCACCTCTTGAGAGATGTCTGCATCAAGGATACACAGTGACGCGTAAGAACACGGTCAAGTGTCCAGGACACACTTGCTTAATTCAGCGGCATGAGCTCTGTCATTGATCTCTTCTGATTGCAAAACAGAATGTCCCTAAAAATAGAAGAGCTGCAGCCTGAAGCTACCCATTCTGAGGCTCGCCTTTTTTTGTGCGTCCATTACAGGGTAGCATATTCATTTTTTCCTTTTTCCTCATTTCTTGGCAGATATGTTAGTAAATCTAGATTATTTCTGTGCCTTAAAAATACTTGTTAATTTGCTATTGGCAAGTGTAAAAAGCTTGCCAAAGCTCCTATCTAGACTCCAGGGGTCCAGGTTACTCTGTTCAACTGCCTGTTCAGCTTCAGGAAGCAGGAGCTGAGTTGGTATCTCTGCCTCAGGCACAAGGACTTCATTAGTCTTAATCCTATAACTTTAGGAGGGGAAAGAATCCTTTGCCAGGAATACCAGTAATCTCAGTCCCATAACCTTGGTGTGGGGGGACCCTTTCTTTGTGGGCCCCAGTACTGCAGATTTAAATATTGTTCCCTGTGACTATTTTTTAGTATCCAGTCCCATGAACTGAATCAAGGCATTTCTAAATAACTTAGAGTTCTATCATTTTCTTTTCTTTTTTTTTTTTAACTTGTTTCAAATGAACATGAGGGTACAATATTCAGGTTACATTGTTCTCACTTCCAGGGTAAAGTTCCATTTGTAGAAGAGCCCCTCACCCAGGGGGCGTGTTATATACTCTCACAATGTGCACATTAGGTGAGATCCCACCTCATGCCCTCCCTCCTTCTGCCGTATGTCCTTCCCCTCCCCCTTCCTGCTTCCCTCTACCCCCAGAACAGGACTATAGTAGTGTTTTATTGTTCTTATGAACATGTAATTGCTTATATATTGATTTGGTATTAGTATGGAGTACATTGCATATTGAATTCTGTCATTTTAATTTTGTGTCAGGAAAACCCAGGCCTTACCATGATGTTCTCCTGAATTAAAGAATATCACTTGGGTACTTATGTGCTATATGCCTGCATTTCCAGATCGCTTCTTACTTACCATAGCAGTACAGACATAATGGTCATTGTGGCAATATGCCCAGTCTTGAATAGGTCCAGAATGAAAACTTTGTGCTTCTTCAGGGAGGTTAGCTCCTGTAACTAAAATAATACCAGTAATGCTGAGATTAGGAGGTAGTAAAGAAGTATCTTCAGTCATGATGCATGGGAAAAACTTATGCATGCAGCTCTGAGTTCACCTTGAATATGCTTACAAGTCTGGGCTCGGCGCCTATAGCTCAACCGGCTAAGGC